TGGAGCCTCCGGTGGAGCTCCCTATCGGGCCACGAAGCGCTGTCCTGGGTGGCGTCGACGCACGCGGCCTGTGCAACTGGAGCCTTCGGTGGAACCCCCGTCATGGGGACGCGAAGCGCTGTCCTGGGTGGCGCTGACGCACGCAACCTGTGCCAATGAAACCATCGGTGAAGCTCCCTATGGGGCTCCCTATGCGGCCTGTGCATCTGGAGCCTCGGTGGAGCTCCCTATACGGCCACGAAGCGCTGTCCTGGGTGGCGTTGACGCACGCGGCCTGTGCTAATGGACGCTTCGGTGGAGCTCCCTATGGGGCCACGAAGCGTTGTCCTGGGTGGCGTCGACGCATGCGGCCTTTGCCACGGGAGCCTCCTGTGGAGCTCCGTATCGGGCCACGAAGCGCTGTCCTGGGTGGCGTCGACGCATGCGGCCTGTGCAACTGGAGCCTTCGGTGGAACCCCCGTCATGGGGACGCGAAGCGCTGTCCTGGGTGGCGCTGACGCACGCAACCTGTGCCAGTGGAACCATCGGTGGAGTTCCCTATGGGGCTCTCTATACGGACTGTGCAACTGGAGCCTCGGTGGAGCTCCCTATACGGCCACGAAGCGCTGTCCTGGGTGGCGTTGACGCATGCTGTCTGTGCCACTGAAACCTTCGGTGGAGCTCCTTATGGGGCCACGAAGCGTTGTCGTGGGTGGCGTAGACGCATGCGGCCCTTGCCACTGGAGCCCCCGGTGGAGCTCCTTATCGGGCCACGAAGCGCTGTCCTGGGTGGCGTCGACGCACGCGGCCTGTGCAACTGGAACTGTCGGTGGAGCCCCCATTCATGGGGACGCGAAGCGCTGTCGTTGGTGGCGTTGGCGCATGCGGCTTGTGCCACTGGAACCTTCGGTGGAGCTCCTCTTGGGGCTACGAAGCGCTGTCCTGGGTGGCGTTGACGCATGCGGCCTGTGCCACTGAAACCTTCGGTGGAGCTCCTTATGGGGCCACGAAGCGCTGTCCTGGGTGGCGTTGACGCATGCGGCCTGTGCCACTGGAGCCTTCGGTGGAGCTCCCTATGGGGCAACGAAGCGCTGTCTTGGATGACTTTGACGCACACGGCCTGTGCAACTGGAGCCTCGGTGGAGCTTTGTATAGGGCAACGAAGCGCTGCCCCCCTGGGTGGCGTTGACGCATGCGGCCTGTGCCACTGGAGCCTCCGGTGGAGCTCCTATGGGGCCACGAAGCGTTGTCCTGGGTGGCGTCGACGCATGCGACCTGTGCCACTGGAGCCTTCGGTGGAGATCCCTGTGGGACCACGAAGCGCTTGGGTGAGTGAAGCGCAGGGAGGTGGCGAGGCGGGTGGGAGGAGGGAGGAGTGGAGGAGGAGGAGAGGAATGGAGGAGGACCCTACACCACAGGATGGTAGGGAAACAAAATCAGCGAAGCGAGCGGCGCAATGATGCTCAGAGCGGAACTGGGCTCAGCGGAGCTACAATGGTGCGGGGGGCATCACAAATCAGCACAGAGGTCACGACCACTGAGGTGCCAACTAGGACGCAAGTAGGCGGAACGACCACGCGCATGGAATGTCGGCAGCTAGGCCCTCCCCCCAGGACGCACATGCGAAAGAAGGTGTACAAGGAGGGCCGGCTGTCACGACCCAGCAACCATGCGGCAGCCAAAACAGCGAGAGCAAACTGGCGTCCATTAGCATACTCCCCAGGTCAGCACGTCGCACTCGGAGTCCTTGAAGCCTAACGGCCTTCACAAACATAGAGGAACGAGCAGGCGACCCCGCAGGAGCAGCGCGAACGACACCGAGAGACGGGCGTGGTCAACGCGAGGAGACGCGTCAAGCGAACGCCGAGGAGGCAACTGCCTCCAGGCCCCCAGGTCGAAGAACGCGCAATCGGGCAGCGACAGCGCGGTGACGAGCTGCTGTGCAAGGAGGGCGCGGTGGTCGGTCGGGCTGCGGCCGCTCTGCGCCCTCCAGCGAGCAGGTCGGAGGCCCCCCAGGCTGGGGCAAGCACAGCGCTGGACAGAGAAGAACCACAAGCAGCGCGACCAGCCATCTGGGCGCCTCTCGCGCCGAGACCCAAAAGCAGCTGCAGCGGCCAGCGCGGCGACGCCGTGAAACAAGGCGCCCCAAAGCGACAGCAAACACGCGGCGCCAAGAAGACGAGCACAACGCCGCCGCAGCGGACAACCCGCGTGGGGGCGCGGCGGACAGCCGGCAGCCCAGCAGCCAGCAGCCCGAAATGTCATGCCCGTGCCGAGGTCTAGCCGAGACCGCAGACGAACCCGAGCATCACCAGGGACCCCTTGCCGAACAATGCCTTCAGCGAGCGGGGAGGATCCTTTCTAAAACCAGCAGCGCGCCCTTGCCGAACACCATGACTCCTTGTGGCCACCATCAAAACGACGAGCAGGGAGGGCGCCGCCGTCAAGTGTGTAGGCTGCAGCGCGCCCACCATTTGCAACCCAGACCTGGCAGCAGTGGCAGCAGTTGATGAGACGCCACCAATCAGGAGGGCGACCCAGCGTACATCGCCGGGAGCAATGGCCCGCCGGCGGTCGCCGCTTATGCGCAGCGGGCGCCATGAGTGGCAGCGGGGCGGGCGCCAGCGGCCCCAGCCGCCAGGAGCCCGCAGTATTGGGCGCCAGCAGGCGTGCCAGCGCGAGGCAGGCACAGCCGGTAGCCCCAAGGAGTCGTCCAAAGTGGGAGGACGGCGACTGATCGTCGCAAACAAAGGAACCGAAGAGCGATGACAGAAGGTGCGGCAGCTGATCGCTGCAAAGGCAAGAGGGCCAGTGAGTTTACTTTTGTTAGCAGCCGCATGCGAGAGCGCCAGCGGCGAGTAAGGTCCGAACGGGCTGCGCAGGGGGCCGAATTACCTAGCGCGGAGCAGAAAAGGATCTACCGCCGGGGGAAGCCGCAACGCCGGGGCTGCAAGAGGTGCCGGGGGCTGGGGCCGGTGAGTTTACGTGAAACGTCTAACATTTATCCTGGAATCCCTGGCGCTCGCTGGGGTTCGCCTTAGCTCGTCAGGTTCCTCGCCAGGCTCCCGGCCCGGCTCCGCCCCCAGCTGCCCGTCTGCCTCCGCGCCTGGTTCCGCGCGGGCGGCAGGCTCGGCGGAGATCGTCGTCGCCATGCCGCCGCCGCCCTCCGAAGCCACCACCTCTGCTGCGTCGGGGCAGGGCGTGCTGGGCGGCGCGGAGTCGCCGCCCCAGTCGGGCGGCGCGCGCGGCTGGGATGCCAAGGCGGGGAACCACTCCAGGTGGTCCCGTCGGCTTGGCCCCGGAAGCCCTGCGGCTCTGGGCCCCGGATCGACCTCTGACTCAGGGTAGATTGACGGGCCCGCACCTCGGCCGGCAGTGCTGGGGATTTTGCTGTGGTGGGGCTCCGGTCGCAGTCAGGCCGACATAGCGGCGGAGAGAAGGCGAGATCCGCAGGCAGCAGCAGAGGAGAGGAGAGGAGCAAAGGAGAGGAAAGAAGCAGGGGAGAAGAGCAGTGGAGAGGAGAGGAGTGAAGGAGAGAAGAGAGGCCGAGGAGAGGAGCGCCGACCCTACGCCTTCTGGATAGAATCGTGGCCTCGCGAGCGCAGGCCCTACGATTGTGGCACGGGATAGGTGTGCTCGGGAGCGCGGGCCCCGTGTTTTACAGAGGATCGCGGCCTCGGAAACACTGGCCCTACGTTTCTCTACCAGGGATCGCGGCCTCGGGAACGCGGAGCTGCGCATTTGACAATGGGTCCCGGCCTTGGGAAAGCGGACCCCATATATTTCAAGAGGGACCGCGGCCTTGGGAGCGCGAATCCCATGTATCTGACGAGGGGGCGCGGCTTCGGGGACGCGAATACTATGTTGGTTGTTTGGGTCACTGTCCCGGGAATGTGGGCCGTTTGATGTTGGGCCTCGGGGGCGCGGACCCTGTGCATTTTACCAAGATCGCGGTCTCGGGTGCGGAGATCCTGTGCTGTCCACTCCGCAAAATCGTTACAAAAGGCGATACAAAGACCGCGGGTCCGATGTAATGTTCAAGGGGGCGCGGTCCCGGGAGAGCGAATGCTATTGACTGGTTGGTAATGCACCAAAGGATTGCGGAGTTGGCGGCGCGGCTCGTGCGAATTTGCAACAGCGGATCGCGGCCTCGAGATGTCGGGCATCAAGATGTTGCTACGGATCACGACCTGCTTTCGACCGAAACAAAAACCGAGGTTCCGGGTCAAGTCTCTCGAGGAGGATGTTTTGACCCAGGCGCCAAAGAACCCCTGCGGGCTCAGACAGTCGACTTCAAGCTTGTGGGGGACGCGGGGTTTCTTGGACGCCCCCCCCCAATAGCTGCATCGCTCCAGACAAGAAACAATTATGTCTACTGCGCTACGCACACGGAAACGGGAGAAACATGTAACCGCGTAGCCTGCATGCCACTACGCTCGACGGGCGAGCTTACGATCGCCCGCCGACGTAGTGCCATTGGAGATCCGCAACACACTGCGGCCGTCAGTCGCTCGATACCAGACGATCGTGCGAAACAGTGCTCGCGCCAGGCATACAGAAAGCTTGCAAAAAGGCAGAGAGCAGGAGACACAGATAATGAGAGGGAAAGAAGGGGAGAGAGAGAGAGAGAGAGAGAGAAAGGAAAACAAGTGAGAGAGAGAGAGAGAGAATGCGCGAGAAAGAGAGAGAGAGAGAGAGAGAGAAAGAGAGAGCGATGTCATCTTGTATGTATGGACGTAGCTTGCAGATGCCAAATGAGAATCGCACATCAGCCAACTTATAGGCTGCGGACACAGAGGGAAAGAGAAAAATAGAGGTGGGGAAGCAAAACAGAGAGAGATATAACAAACTGACAAACAGAGACAACAACAAAGAGAAACACACCGCGGGACATGTAAATATGTATAGATAGAGAGAGAGGGAGAGAGAGAGAGAGAGAGAGAGGGAGAGAAGGACAGCGAGGGAAGGGACAACGACGACGGCAACGACCACAACGACGTCTGGCAGCGGCGGCGGGCCGCCTCGTCGTGCCGCCGCGCCTCCTCCGCGAGTTCGCTGCGCAGGCGACCCGCCTGGGCGGCCCCGGGCGCCTCCCGGGGGTCGTTCCTCTTCCTCCTCTCCCTGATTTTCCCCGTCCTCCTCTTCATAGTCTACGCTGGACCAACCTGAGGCTACCCTGTGGCGTTGATCATCCTCCACCTCTCCCTCTTCCTCCTCCTCCTCTTCCTCGTCCTCCCCTTGCTCTTCCACCTCCACTTCCTCCTTCCTCCGCCTGCTCTTGTTTCTCCTCATCCCCCTCCTCATCTCCATCAGCCTCAGCATCCTTATCATCATCACCACCATCATCATCATCACCATCCCCAGCATCATCCTCCTCATCATCATCATCCTCACCATCGTCGACATCATCGTCATCATGTGTCTGTCTGTCACGTCTTAGTTTTGCTCCTCCTCCCCCCTCCCCTCTTCCCGTCCCCCTGCTCATCGTCTGATGGATTATCCTCGTGATCCTCCTCCTGCATCATGTCTAAAAGGATCTAGCGTGAAAATGCGCGTTGATGTCACACTGCGCTCGGTTACGCTCGGATGAATCAGATTTCTGAACGTTAAAACTTAATCACGGCCTTGGTAACGACGGCCGTCACACCTCAACTCCGCGTTTCCTGCTTCTCCACTTGCCGCCGCATGCGTTAACGCGCCCCCCCCCTCCCCCCCTTCGGCTAACACATCCGCTGAAGCAACGGGGAAGGAGCTAATGATATAATCTGGCAACGATGGGTTTACATAAATGACACGATCTTGAAACAGTGCAACCTAGGCGTGCGTGGCAAGCAAAAACAATATACTCATGCTGAATCGCTACACGGAGCTAGCGATAATGAGAACGGCTGTTGTCGCTTTTTGTGCCAGCGCTAAACCCACGCACGTGAATCAATTCTATTCACGCCCACTCACGTTCACAAGGCAATCGGAAAGAAATGGGACGGGTCTGATCACCCCAATCATATCCTGTAGCGCCTCGGCAGCCACGAAGCTGAACGTCCCAACTGCCTCTGCGCGTCCAGGCTACCCGGCATACTAAAACGGTAACGTGGTCTGCGGCACTCTCTCAAAGCGTGGCTCATGTACGTGGTGTCGTCGCACGCCTAGGTCAGTTCCTCCGCGTTGATCCCGCATCCCCCAATCCCTCTGACGATTGGCGAAGTCTGCCCGGGAATGGCAAGTGCCCAAGGCTGACCAGTAAGACGCACCTGGGGCGCAGAGGCAAGGTGCAAGAGTCCGAGTGGTTCGCTTTCTCTTCTCCTGATCAGGTTCCGCACCTTGGGTCCACTAACCACTGCTGCCAGTTAGTTGTCCTCCGATTAAAACAGTGGAGCGTGAGCCATGCCTACCAACAAAAACCCTCTCGGAGCTTGGGGCGTCGGCCCAGTGAATTTCGGCGATGGAAATTCGTAAATCTGTTAACTCCTGCCATATTGCTCTTATTGGTCGCTTTCGCGGCAATCCAAGTGCCGCGCCACTTCAAGGCGGCGGCGAACGGCGGCCCGGGGTCAGGCGCCCGGGCGGCGCCAGCCGCGTGGCGGGGGCCCAGCGGCGTGGGCATCCCAGCGGCGGCGGCAGCGCTGGCACCCCAGCGCAGCGCAGCGGCCATCGCTGGGACCGCGAGCCAGGCGGCAGGCACCATGGCTGCGGCACCCCGTAGTGGGCCCTGCCCCGTTCGAAGAGAGACGGGGTTCGGCGCGTTGCCGAACCAGAAAAGCTCGAGCGTGCCCCTCCTTCCTTCTCTGGCCTCTCACCCTTCAAACCCGACGTTCAATCCTCGCACCTGCCCCGTCGGCGCCGACGCTTGCGCTGCAGGAAAGCCCTCTCTCGGAGTGCCAGCCGCCGGCCTTGCTCAGCGCAGCGCGGCGGGTGCGCGACACCTGCCCTGTGAACACCGGGGTCTCGGCATCGGCCTCCATCGCCAGAGCCGTAGCTCCTGCTGGCGAGGTCCTGGGCGCAGGGGGACTCATAGCCTGAGTCTGCAAATTGGGGCATGGAAAACCGGATGCCACAGCGCGCGTGGGAAGGCGTGCCATCGCGTCTTGGCCCTCTGTCACGCGGGCCAGCTCGACAACTCCAGAGGACAGATTCCGCATGGCTAGTATAAAGTTGACTCGCTGGGTGTGGCCGCCTGCAAGTCGGCCAGCTCCCTCTGCAACCGCTCGTGCTCCTGCAGGGCTGCCACTTTCAGCGACGAGGTCTGGGTCACGAGCTCAACGATGAGGGCCATGCGTTTGCCGCTGTGCTCCAGCAACGCACCGCTTGGCACGACTTGACCACTTTGCTGCGGGCCGCCTGGTGGAGCGCAGCCAGCGCGCCGCAGCAAATTTCGCTCCCTGCGGGATCGCTGCGGATGTGGCCTCGAAGCTCTCAATCTCGGCCGTCGACTGCGAGAACTCAACCACCGCGGCGTCCTCCGCAGTCATCTCCTTGACCTTGGCCGCGATTGAGTCTAGCCCAGCGCGTGCTGGAAGGTTGCTCTGAGGTAGTGCTGCTCCCGCCGGCGCGGTAGACGAGTGGGCCATCTGCAGATTTCCACCTTGAACGAAATTTTGCTGACCTGCCACCCAAAGGCCGCCAGACTCACCCCATGCCTTCTTCGCCCCAAACCTCGAGCACTAACTGCAGAAGTTCCATCGGCGGCACGCGGTGCACTACCACAACTCCGCGACGTCGGTGCACCCGGCCGAGCATGACCACGACGACGCGCGAAACCGCGCCATGGACACGACGCTTGTGCGCCGCGATGGGTGGGCACGACTTGTCCGCCCCATGGGGCGCAACATAATGGAACCAAGCCGCTCCAGGGCCCGGGTCATGTGTATTATATAGATACACATACATACATACATGCAGGCATGCATACATACATACATGCATACATGCATACATGCATGCATACCTGCATACATGCATACATGCACACATACATACATACATACATACATACATACATACATACATACATACATACATACATACATACACACATTCATTCATTCATTCATGCATACATGCACACATACATACATACATACATACATACATACATACATACATACATACATACATACATACATACACATATACATATGCATATATATACATATATATATACATGCATGCATGCATGCATGCATGCAGCCATTCAGGCAGGCAGACAGGCATACACACATACAAACATACATCCACACACATACATATATACATACCCATACCCATACCCATACCCATACCCATACCCATACCCATACACATACATAAATACATACATATACGTATAGATATACATACATGCGCGTGTGTATTTGGATATACACACCTACGTCGCACCCGCAGTTGCGGATAAGAGTGAGGGGCAGCGAGGACGTTGCGAGGCAATGAGAAGCCCGCCGAAGGCGCGGATCTGTTACAGAGTACGCAGTGAACCCGCCGCAGGCGCCGACATTTTCGTTAAAGCAATGTGGGTGGATCGCGGGGTGGGTCGAGGGTGTGTCGCGGGTGGGTCGCGGGGTGGGCCGCGGGATGGGTCGTGCATGGGTCGCGGGCCGGGTCGCAGATGGGTCGCGTATGGGTCCGCGGTGTGTCGCGGGGTGGGTCGCGGGGTGTGTCGCGGGGTGGGTTGCTGGGGGGATCGCGGGTGGGTCGCGGGGTGGGTCGCGGGGTGGGTCGCGGGGTGGGTCGCGGGTGGGTCGCGGGTGGGTCGCGGGGTGTGTCGCGGGGTGTGTCGCGGGTGGGTCCCGGGCGGGTCGCGGGGCGGGTCGCGGGGCGGGTCGCGGGGTGGGTCGCGGGGTGGGTCGCGGGGTGGGTCGCGGGGTGGGTCGCGGGGTGGGTCGCGGGGTGGGTCGCGGGGTGGGTCGCGGGGTGGGTCGCGGGCGGGTCGCGGGCGGGTCGCAGGGGGGATGGCGACACCAACAACAGCAACAACATCAACATCAACAACAACAACAACAACAACAACAACAACAACAACAACAACAACAACAACAACACGCATCATCTCCACCGCGGATTGCCACTTCAGCCACGCACCCAGGGACAATGAATGACCGCTCGGCGCCTCCACTGTACACACACACGCACACACGCATACAAATACATGTATGTGTGTGTATATATATATATGCCCCGCCCGCATGCTCATACACATTCTCCCTTCATCCCTCCAGTCCTCCCTTCCCCTTCCCTCCTCCTGCTCGTCTTCAGTTTGTGTTGCTACGTTGCCAGCCGCGACCTAGTCGATTGCAATCTAAACCGACGTAACCAAATACATTGCACGCCAAGGGTTTGTCACCGACTCGAAGGAAAGCCAAAGGGTTGCACTCCAAACACTTCAATGCGAAGCGACTGCAATCTTTCGCGGCGCATTGCAATCCAATCGGCTGCGCTGCAATCGGTCGCTGGGAATCCTTCTGTTGAGGATCTTCTCCCCCCTCCTCCCCCTCACCCTCATCCGCCTCATCTTCCTCCTCCTCCTCCTCCTCCTCCTCTTCATTCTCATCCGCCTCATCTTCCTCCTCCTCGTCCTTCTCATCTGCCCCGGTCTCCTTGTTGTGAAGAGGTGTCAACACGAACCCTTCTGCGGAGGATTTCTATAGGACTCCTTCTGTGTAGGATGTCAATTGGAATACTTCTGCAACAGATTTCAATAGGATCTTCCTGCGGGAGATTTCAATAAGAATCCTTACGTGGAGGAGTCATCCTTCCTCCTCCTCCTCCTCCTCATCCGAAACATTTTCCCTCACCCTCCTAATCCGCCTACTTCTCCTTCTTGTGAAGGGTGTCGCCCTGCTGTGGAGGATTCACTGAGAATCCGTCTGTGGTGGCTTCAAGAGGAAAGCTTCTCCTCGTCCGCCTCGTCTTCTTCCTCCTCCTCACCCGCCTCATTTGTTCTTTTTCTTTTGTCAAGGGTTGTGAAGGGCGAAGAGAAGGAGCAGGAGGAGAAGGAGAAAGAGGAAAACGAAAAGCATGACGAGGGTGATCCGCAACACATTACTCATACACCTGCTTGTGGAGCTGCGTTCGCAACTGGATTTGTGAGTAACGC